AGAGAGCTCCCCCACTCACTGATTCAACAGATGATTATTGAGCACCTATTATGTGCCTGCCAGGCACTCGGATCTCCATCCACCGAGTAATCCCAAGGCTGGAAAGAGGAAGGGTGGACTTGGGAGGAGGGTGCTCCTTCCTAAACCCACCCACCCTGTTATGGCTCAGAGGCTGTTCTGGCTGTTTCGGGTGGTGACCAGCTTATTCATCGGGGCTGTGATCCTGGGTGAGTGTGAAGCACAGCTGCCTCAGGCAGTGCCTCTGTCCCATCCGGTTCCCTCAGCAGCCGGTCTGGCGTCTCCTTGTTTCCTCAGGGCAGCCTCTGCTTCAGGGTGGTCTTCCACACCCTGCCCACATGCCTCCCTCATTGTGGCCATAACCCCTCCCTTTTACCCCTGCTCAGAGGGGTCTGGGCCCTGGGAAACCATGCTGGACACATCTCTCCAACCTTCATAACATTTTTATTCAGAGGAAAGCAGATCAAAATGAATGTCTGTGGGGAGAAGGCCTTTGGATACTGGAGGGAGGAAATGGGGGAGGCCTGCTTGCTTTGCTTTGAGAATTAGGCAAGTAGGAGAGATGAAGTCTCAAAGCTGAAGCTGTGTTTGCCCAACATGGTTTATTACATTAATGTTTTCCTCCCCCAGCTGCTTGAGTAGCTCTCTCTAAACAGGAAGAGAAAGGGAAGGAGGGATAAGAGGAGCATGACCAAGGGAAGTCTAGGATTCATCTCACACATTATTGGCAAATCAACCATGAGCCAGACCCTAGGCTAGTTAATAGATATACAAATATGAGCAAAACAGACATGGTCCCCTTGCGGCTCTCCCTCTGACTCTAACTCAGCAATGCCCGCAACTCCCTGAGTTCCCCTATGTCCAACTCCCCAACCCCAGCTGTGAATTTCAGTTCTGAGTGGTCTGTGGGCCAGGTCAGCACCAACACATCATACAAGGCCTTCAGTTCCCAGTGGATCAGCGCTGATGTTGGGCTCCATGTTGGGCTGGGAGGAGTCAACATCACACTCACAGGTAAGGAAGGGCTCTTGACGGTGAGGGGGGCTCTGTTCTGTGTCTTTGGGCTCTAGTTTAGTGTAGTCTAAAGAGCTACAAGGTAGGGGGATGGTAGGAGGGGAAATTTCCAGGCCTTGGAAGCTGCCTTTTCTCCATTGAGACCAGCTCCTGTCCCTCTGCCCATGTGGTGAGCCCCTTACCCAGGCAAATGCCTCACTCTGGCCCTTGGGTCCCTGCTGAGCACAGCTGCCCCATTTCCCAGGGACCCCAGTGCAGCAGCTGAATGAGACTATCCATTACAACGAGGAGTTCACCTGGCGCCTAGGGGAGAACTATGCTGAGGCGTATGCAAGAGCGCTGGAGAAGGGGCTGCCAGACCCTGTGCTCTACCTGGCTGAGAAGTTCACCCCGACCAGCCCATGTGGCCTGCATGGCCAGTACCGCCTGGCAGGACACTACACCTCGGCCATTCTGTGGTGAGGGTGGGATGGAGGCCCTACTGCTCTGGACCCAGGAACAGGGTTTCTAGCCATCTCCCCCACCCCCACCCCCCTCCTTATATTGCAATTCCTATGAGGAAGGTGGCGCCAGTCACCACAGTACTCAGTTGGGAATCCCAAAGCAGAAATCGCTACCTCACATCTTTGGGGTATCCTTGGGTCCCTGAGCCTCCACCTGGAGCCCTCCAGGTAGAGGTGCCTGGGCCAGCCTTCACAGGGTCCTGGTTTTCCAGGGTGGCATTCCTCTGCTGGCTGCTGGCCAACGTAATGCTGTCCATGCCTGTGCTGGTCTATGGTTGCCACATGCTGCTTGCCACGGGCATCTTCCAGCTGTCGGGACTGATCTTTTTCTCCATGGCCACGCCACTCACCCCACCCTGTCCTCTGCGCATGGGCACTGCTATGCTACACTTTCACCGTGGACCTGCCTTCTGGATCACGCTGAGCACAGGTGAGGCCAGCCCCGAAGGCAGGCACTTGGAGAGCTCAGGGCCAGGGAAGGAGTATCAGGGACCATTATGTTAGGGGGCGGAGGGTTGAGGGTCTGGGGGCCAGGGTGCCTTTCCCTTTATTAAAGCCCCATTCCTCTTATATCCCTCATCTCTGGGTTTTCTCTTCCCAGTTCCACTTTCCCTCTCTTTTTGTATATGCCTACTCCCCTGTGTCTTCTCTCTTTCTCTGTCATGTGCCTCATCCCCTATCTCTTTGTCCAACTCTTTCCCAAATCTTCTAATCTCATGTCCCCTCCCACTTCCCCCAAACATTTTTCTTTGTGTCCCCCATTCCTAGAATTCTTCTCTGTCCCTGTTTCACAGAACCTTTACGTGTCCTGCAGTTTATTGTCCTCTCCTGTCCCACCCACTGTGTCTGTCCCTCATGCCCTTTCCTATGCCTCCTCCTTGTGCCCTGCCCTTCCTCAGGGTTTCCTGTTTTCAGATTCATATTCATTCTCTCTCTGGCTCATGGGATGTAATTGAGAGCATTTGGCTTAGAGTCCAAAACTCACAACTGCCTCTCTGAGCCCAAGTTGCCTTGAAGCCAGGACGCCAGGCCTCCTTTAGAGTTGTTCTGATGCTCTTAGGACAGTGGTTCTCAACCTTCTGGCCCTTTAAATACAGTTTCTCACGTTGTGACCCAACCATAAAATTATTTTTGTTGCTACTTCATAACTGTAATGTTGCTACTGTTATGCATCATAATGTAAATATCTGATATGCAGGATGGTCTTAGGCGACCCCTGTGAAAGGGTTGTTCGACCGCCAAACGGGCCGCGACCCACAGGTTGAGAACCGCTGGCTTAGGAGAACATGTCCTTGGGAGGGTGTTGTCATTACTAAACAAGATGCCTGTTGCCTCATTCCCAGGACTGCTTTGTGTGCTGCTGGGCCTGGCCATGGTTGTGGCCCACAGGATGAAGCCCCACAGACTGAAGGCTTTCTTCAATCAGAGTGTAGGGGAGAACCCTGGGCTGGAGTGGAATCCTGAAGAAGGGGGACTCCTGAGCCCCCGCTACCGGTCCACAGCTGAGAGTCCTGAGCCCCAGGACATTCCTCTGTCAGAGGCATCCTCCCAGGCATGCTGTAAGGAGCAACCCAGAATGTCTGACCCTGACCCATAAGGTTCCTCTCCCTGGTGGCCACCCAGACTTCCAATGTGATTCCAGACCTCCTTTGGGCCTCCTGAACCTCCCTCCGGAACTGCCCATAGAATGGGTTGTAACGGCCCTCCAGCTCCGGTCTGTAGGTGGAGTCAAAAAAGGAGACTCTCTCTATCGATGTTGACAAAACAAAAGAAAAGACCTAAGGTGCTGAACAGATATTGGAACTGCCCATACACCTTGTCACATGGGAAGACCAAATGTTTCCACACTGCAACCCTGCCTTTTTTTTTTATGCTTTGCCTGTGTCAGATTCCATTTATTGAAACCTAGCATCACCCCCATAATGATGATTCTGTGGTCCCTCTCATCCCTCTACACCTCTTGTTTGCCTTTTTCCTGGGTCCCCTTTGTTCTTCCTTTATTTCCCCAGCTTGTGTGACCTCTTGGTACAATGAAAGAGACACTCAGAGGGAGAAGAAACCAAACTTCTTACCCTAGGCCTAATATTAACCAACTGTGCCACATTCTCTTTGAGTTTCAGTTCTCAAGTTTGCTAAATAAAATTGTAAGACTTGCCAAGGACCTTTTAAAAAATCCCAGGATTTACATTTTTATGCCTTGCTTACATCAACCTTGGGCCTCAACACCATTCCATAGTGAATAAACTAGAATCCTATATAATAAAAGGGTAATATGGAAATCAAACGGCTGAACGACCGGTCTCTATGATGCGCACTGACCACCAGGGGCAGACGCTCAATGCAGGAGCTGCCCCCTGGTGGTCAATGCACTCCCATAGGGGGAGCACCTCTCAGCCAGAAGCCGGGCTCATGGCTGGCAAGTGTAGTGGCAGTGGCGGGAGCCTCTCCTGTCTCCATGGCAGTGCTAAGGATGTCCGACTGATGGCTTAGGCCAGCTCCCCACACTCCCCAGGCCTAAGCCAGCAGTCAGACAACTCCCGAGGGCTCCCAGACTGTGAGAGCGCCCAGGCCGGGCTGAGGGAACCCCCCACCCCCCCACTCCCCCCACACACCCAGTGCTCGAATTTCGTGCACTGGGCCTCTAGTTAGTGAATAAACTCCAAAACGCCATTTCCTCTTAGCTCACTTAGCTGGGCCAGCGGAGGGGGATCCCACTGGGTGTGTCAGTTGGAGGGTGAGCTGTCTGGTCACCGTGCCCTTACCATCCATCCCTTTGGGGTGGCTCAGGAAGATGCTGGCTCCGGTCGGATCTCCTCTGAGCTCACTAGAGGGCGCCCGTCTCCCAGATCTTTTCCTGGGTTACTCTGGATTCTCCAGATGGAGAATTGGGGTGGCAAGGCAAAGAAAATGTTCTATGGCCGCCTGCAGCCCAGCGAAGTCTCCCGAGGCCGCGTGTCGCACAAGAGTCTGAAGTAGCCATGGAAATGAACGGAGAACCGTTTTTACAAAACAAAAGGGAAAAAAATTTATTTGCAGCTCATCTTGGGAGACTTGGGTGCAAGGCGCATGCCTGAGGCCGCCCACCTTTCCTTGGCGGCCGGCAGCGCAGCGCCCCTCCCAGAGCAGTCCCGGCTCCGGTTTGGCGGGCACTGCGGTCAGGCTGGGCACCGCAGGGTAGTGTCCCGCCAGGCGGTACCGGCAGTAGAGCCCGCAAAGGCTGCTCGGGGTGAACTTCTGCGCCCGGGGACCGAGGCGGAGTAGGAGTCCGAGGTCGAGTCCCCTTCACAGGTTAGTACTGATCGTTGTGGCCGAGGCCTCGAACTGCTTGTAGGATGGGTTGTTGAGGCCGAGAGGCGAGCCCCCTCGCGCCTGGTTACCGAAGTTCTTGACGCTTCCGTCCAAGAAGATGCGAAGAGCGCTGGGCTTAGCGTAGTGGAGACCAACCACCGCCCCTCCTAGAAGGAGGCACAGGACGCCTGCGGCAGCGCAGACGTAAAGAAAAAAAAAGGGGGGGGGGCTGTCAGGGCTCCGGGACAGAACCCGGCCTGCCCCCTTCACCTGTGGAGCCACCCCTCCCATTTCTTACACACACACACACACACACACACACACACGCACGCACACAGAAGGACCTCTGATATGGATGGCATGATACAAGGGTTCGAGTGCTAACTGGGCAAGATGCCACACCCTTCTGCAAGATGGGCACAACAGCGCCTGCCTCTACGAACTATCGAGAGGGGCAAAGAGTAATGTAGGTGAACTCACTCTGTAAACTGGAAAGCGCGCAACCGGTATAAACCCCGTCCCTATCCCCAGCCGCCCGGCCCCTCGCTCGGTCCTCACCGGTGGCCAGCGTCACCCAGAAGGCGGCGCCGTAGTGACTGGTGATGGCGGAGGAGCCCAGGCGCAGCTGGCAGAGCGGCACACTGGCGATGGAGACGAAGGACAAGACGGCGAAGATCGCGAAGGCGCCGGTGGCCAGGAGCGCCAGGCCTCCGTAGAGCGGGACCGGCATGGAGAGCAGCGCGTTGGAGAGGAGCCAGAGGCAGAACGCCACCCTGCGGGGACACCGGTGCTGTGAGCCCGCTCCTCCCAGTCCGCGGGCTCCCGCAGCCTCGCGTCCTCTACCCCAGGCCGAAACCCCGGGGTGGCGTGGCGGAAGTGCAGGGGGAACCCCCAAAGGGTGTAGCTGGATCCCAGCCTTTGATGAGGCTCTGGGAGATTCCGACGGTCTGTGCGGTCCTCCTGACCTTCTGACCCGAGGGGCGAGCACACTCCCCGGAGCGTATTGGACACACGCGCGCGCGCGCACACACACACGCACACACACACGCACGGCGCCTTCCCGCCAGGGCTCACCACAGCGTGGCTGAAGCGAAGTGTCCCGCCAGGCGGTACTGGCGGTAGAGCCCGCAAGGGCTGCTCGGGGTGAACTTCTCCGCTAAGTAGAGAACTGGGTCGGGCAGGCCCTTCTCCAGCGCCTCCGTGTACTCCTCGGCGTAGTCCTCGCCCAGACGCCAGGTGAACTGCTCGTTGTAGTCGATAGTCTCGTTCAGCTGCTGCACCGGGGTCCCTGCGGAGGGCGGCGGGGTCAAGGGGACGCGCCCAGCCCCGGACCCGGAAACTAAGTGGATTCGGATAGTAAAGCGGAGGCGCGAGAGAAACGGGTTTGGCAGGGGTTGGGGAAAACACAAAGGCGAGAGGACCACAAGCTCTCTGGCCCTGTGAGACCCGAGAGGCCCTGCAGCTGCCCCTGGCACACTCCCGCCCCGCCTCTCCCCCGCCCGCGCCCCCTCCAGGGCGTCTGTCCATCCCAGAAGTTCACTGTCGCCCAGCCGCTCACCTGTGAGTGTAATATTTATTCCTTCCAGGCCCACGTGCAGACCCACATGGGCTCGGACGCGGGCTGTGCTGAAGGCCTTGTAGGAGGTGTTGGTGTTCGCTCTACCCACTGACCATTCCGCACTGAAGTGCACCGCTGTGAGGAGAGGCACGGGTGGGGGGCGGTTAGGGGAAGGGCTGGGGAGATGGAATTGGGGGCGTGGTGATGGAAGGTGGGATACTGTGAAGAGAGATGGGAGTGGAGGTCCAATATGGTCTACATGGTAAGAACCGAAGAGTGGGCACTAGAAAGAGCTGGAAATGGACAGAGGAAGAGGGAAGCCCAGCTCTCCATTTTCCCAGGTTTGGAGTAAGGGGTAAAAGAAAATTTGTGGGAGCAAAGATCCCTGAATGGAAACCCCAGATCCCTCTGAGATGAAAAAAGTCTGTGCTGCTTAGTGGGGGTCGGGGGATGTGGCTGTGGACTTGCAGAGGGGCTTCAGTGGGTCAGTGAGGTGCCCTCTGCCAGCCTCCTTCCCCACCCCAGGTCCCCTCCCCATCGGTTGCACCACGCACTCACCCACGATTTCTGCGCCGATGAACAGACTGAGGAGAACTCGCACCAACCAGAACCAGCGCTGCAGGAACAGGCACGGGGTCAGGCCTGGGTACTATTCAACCAGAGTCCCCCTGCCCCCTGGATATTTAGTGCTCCTGCACTGCCCTCTCTTGCCCCAAGTCCTTTTCCCAGTTACATTTCTGGTGCTTTGAGGCTGAAGTCAGGCTTCCTTTTCATGCAAGTCCTTCTGAGCCACTGGCATTTCTGATGTTTTCTGACCTTGTGCTTGCATCTCCCCAACCCCATTTCCCAGTCCACTTTGCAATTGGCCATCTCTCCCTGCCTGGTGCTCTCCCACAACCTTCACCGTCCCCCCTCTCCCCCCAGCTATCTGGCTCCTGGTCCTGGTTCCGCCTCCTGCTCAGGTCACTGCTATGGAAAGGCTCAGTGAGTCCAGAAGTGCTAGGCAGGGAGGGGGCACCTCCCCCAAGAGAAGGAGGCCCTGGGGTTGGTGGCCAAGTAGGAGAGGTATGAACACCACCTCTCAGGCATTCCTTGGTTTCCCAGGAAACCAGTGCAGGACAAGACCCAGGAAGGCTGAGTCTTCCGAGACTTGAAAAACAACGTAGGTTCTTGGAGAGGGACGGGAACCTCAGGGCAAGTATCCAGTCGGCTACAGCTTTGAATCCTGTGGGGAAGTGTCTGAATCCATATACACGTGTCAACCCAGCACACAAGTGAAACACAGCAGTCTGAGCAGCTAGTTTCTGTCCTTCTGGGGAGGAGTGAATGGGGGTGGGGGAATGGAGCTGCAGTAGGGGGAGAGGCAAGGAGGCAAGCCAGCACATAAACTAGAATGGGCCCCAGGTGGGTACCTACCTGCTCTTCACAGCAGCCTCCTGAATGACCCACTGGGCCAGGCTCTAACAGTGGTTCTCAACCGTCTGGCCCTTTAAATACAGCTCCTCACGTTGTGACCCAACCATAAAATTATTTTCGTTGCTACTTCATAACTGTAATGTTGCTACTGTTATGAATCGTAATGCAAATATCTGATATGCAGGATGGTCTTAGGCGACCCCTGTGAAAGGGTCGTTCGACCGCCAAAGGGGTCGCGACCCACAGGTTGAGAACCGCTGCTCTAGGATGTCTAGAATGGGACCTCTTCCTGTCCTTGGAAAGGGGTGCGTGCTGCGCTAGGCTTCTGGGTCTGCCCCATCTATGCTTGTCTGACTCTTCCATGGAGGTCCTCGCTGCAGTCTTAATCTGTCCTGGGTCCTCCCGAAACAAGCTGCCCACGACGTCCCCAGACCCCAGCTTCTAGCACCCCCTTACCGAATGGCCACGAATCCCGGGCAAGATGAGCAAGAAGCTGGCAGCCAAGGTCAGGAACACCAGAATGACAATGAGCAGCGGGACGTTGAAGCCAGCGGCGTGCCGGGGCTGGGGGTAGAAAGGCAGCTCGCCATCCCAGAGCGTCATGCTGTAACGAGGCCGAGCGCCGTGCGTTGTCGGGCGGGAAAGTCGGGAGCGGAGCCTGCTGGAGCTGGGAGAGCGCGTCCGTGGCGTCGAAGCTTGAGTTCCACTTCTCTTCACCCCGCCCCTGGCGTGCTAAGGCAAGACCCAAGGGGTTGGTCAAGTCTGCGCCCCTGGGCTGGGGAGCGCAGCCCTCGAGCGCTCCGGGGTTGGCCCGGGAGGAGTCAGGTCAGCGGGAAAACGGAATTATTTCTCACAGTTACCTTTGCAGCTCTGAGGTTTGCTCTGCGTTTGCAAGTCGCTCGGGACCCTGA